GTCTAAACAATTTAAGTCTTTTACATTTTATTCATGTGTACTGCCTCTAATTCACCCAAAGTTCTTATCTTTTAAATATTCTTTAATTTGTTTGTTTAGTTGAAGTAGCCACATTCAACTTGGTTTGTTAGTACTCACTTTAGGTATATATGTCCCTATTTTTTATCACAAAAAATGTTGTCAAAAAGGATATTAATTTACCTAGAAAAAAAAATGTTACTGACTTTTGTGAATGAATATATCAGTTGGTAATTTAGTACATGTTGATGAAAGTTGATGGAGTAAATTGTTACAAAGATGGCTTTGGGATACACTGTCCATGGACATATTATGAATGTTTTTTTCTTCTCCATATAGGCTGCAGTGTAAGGTTTTGTGCCTTTGTGCATCTTTTGACTAAAGGCTTATTTGGCTTCATCTCTATTGGTTATGTCTTGTCTTGCGGGGCTGCTAAACTAATGTTTTGAGGTTAGATTTGAACTTTTCTACTATTTTGTTTAAGGGTTTTGTATGATACCAATAATACTATGTAGTTTGTATAAAATATAATTGTATTTGGTATCAAAAGTCAGAAAGAAATATAATCCTTTAAAATAAAATTTGAGAGTTTGAGCTCCAGAAAGTTGACATGTGGCACTTTTTAAAGCTGGGATTTTTTGACACTTAAGGTTACACGCATCTCTATTTTATTCCTCTACAAACTCTCGCAGACACACATTAGAAAAGGAAACTTTGTGGTCTCTTCTTCCCCTATGGAAAGTGGAAATTTACGCCAAAGGAAAATCCAACGAATACTTCTCTCGATTAGGTTTCTCTTCCTCGAGAAGCAAATCTCATGGGAATTCAAAAAAATTTACAGAGAAGCAAATCTCATGGGGATTCAAAATTTCACCAAAGAAGGAGACTCAAATTTAGGTCGTCTCTTCTTGACCAAAATACAGCCAATTCGCTCTCTGAATTAGGTATTATACTATTCTTGACCGAAGGAAACTCGAAGATACCATAACTCTTCATTCAATCTTTATCTTAATTGAGATCCAAAATACCAAAAGTAAGATTTAAAATTGAGATTCAAGAGGTATGTTTCGAGTTTCATATTTAATTGTTATTCATCCCAATTTAATTATGCATGTTCAATTCATAGTATTCCTTAATATACATAATTAGCTTCACATGGTATATTCCATAATCTCATATGCAATTTTAGAACTTCTCTTTGCATTCTTCCTCAAATTGAGCATTTCTTATTCGTGTGTTAACTCAAGTATGTTGCTTCAAAAAAAAAACAAGTTAGTTTATCTTCCTCCACACAGAAACATAGGAAAAGTGGCGAGTTCGAAGTCGAAATTCTATGAAATTTTTGCAGGCACATATAAAATGAAGTAACGGAAAGGAAAGACCGCATTTACAAAGCAACAAACTAGCAAAATCTGCAAATCGTCAACAGGTATTACTCTGAAACTTCTTTTTTATTCTTCATTGCTTTGTCAGATCTTCACGTACCCATTTGGATGAAGTTTTGGATTGTATTCATCTTCTCTTTTAAATTATTCCTCTGCAGTTTGATTTCAAACACATTGAATTTCCAGTGTTGCTTTATTTGGATTTCAATTATGTATGAATATTTATTGTCTTTGTTTGACAATGGATTATATGGATCTAAAAATAGGGAAGTCTCCCTTAAAGAATTGAAGCCAAAAATTTATTCAATGTAAATATTTTGAACTTTGAGTCAATATTTTGCCTTGAGTTAATTCACTTTGAGTACTTTAGCCTGCGTGCTGCTTTAATCTCAGAATTCCAACATCGTCGTCTTTGATTCAAGCAGCTTTTTGAGTTTTGACTTCTCATTTAGTGCATTCAATAATCCAAGTTTCTTCTTTAAACTCTTCTATTAATGTTCTTAGTCTTTTTCATTCCATCTTTGTAGAATTATACATACTCCATATATGAAATGGATCATAGTGAAGTATTTTTGCCAGTTTTTAAGAATTTCACACATTGAGAGTTGATAAATATAATTCATTTACAATCTTTACTTATTGCATTGTGTTAGCTAGATTTTACACAAAAACTAATATTTGAGTTGTATTCGAAACAGGATATCTGGATTTTACAATCATTGAATGATGACAAACATGTACGAATTAAGACTAGAGTAATTGACACTTTAGACAATGCTATTATTGTCATATTTGAAGACATTGGATGTCTGTTGCATAAATCATGTCCCGAGATGATAAAAATATTGTGAGGTAAGTATGTACGATAATAATGCTTCTGTATATAATACCTTTTTTAGTTCTCATCTCAATGCTACTGTGTCAAAAAAGATCGCCAGTCCATTTAAAAATCACCTATAATTTTCATATGTTATAACAGTCCATGTGATTCCTGGAACATACATCTACTGACGCACACTTTTAGAGAATTATGTATTTTAATGATTACTGAAATATACGTCTGCTAACCCATGGTTTGATTAGAGTGACAATTAGGC